ACGGTGATCGTGTTTAAACATAATTTCCATGACGACATGATAACCGGAAGAACATATCTGGCATTGCAATATAGTTTAGCATGCGTGCAAGTATGAAGGCACGTGCAGATGAGATTCGTATCCTGGCATTATATAAACACGTACGCGAAGATTCGTGATGGATAGAGAAGGTGGTTAGTGAAGGATAGAGAAGGTGGTCATTGAAGGACAGAGAAGGTGGTTAATGAGAGAGATAAAAAAGGTGGTTTAAGGTAAGGGGGAAACGAGGCGATGGGGGTAACCAGCTGGTAGAATGTGAACCCTTTAACACCGTAGCCACAATTCTAACAGCTGTTCCCAAACGTTTGCACAAAATACGCATATACACTAAACCCCAATCCCCGTTTATACCACGTAGCCTCATGATTTCGTTATTGTTTAATTCATGCGCGTTATATGTGTACCAAACATAATTGCCAACTACGTATTTTCTCAGCTGTTCTTTCGCCTTACATTCTGCGCACTCGTTACCAGCACCTCATCCTCCCCATCCACACGCACATCTCACGCGGGAAAAGTATCACGGGCAGAGCACATATACGAATCAGCAGCACATACACACACACACACACACACACACACACACACACACACACACACACACACACACACACACACACACAGACACGCAAACATATATATATACATATACACATACATATACACGATGTGTTTTCGCGCGTGCATGTACAATCGCCTGCGCGTGATGTCGTGAATGGACGCGATCATCTGCGTCGGCTCGACGCGCCTAGTCGTCGTCGGCAAACAAGCGTAGCGACGACATTGTCGACGACGACTACATTTGTTTCCACACGCCGCGCAAACATCGTTGTTATGGCCCTGTCACACATTGACGATTTAGCCAGCGTATGCCGGACGTATCAAAATTTCTCTAAAACGCTGGCATACGCTGAACTATCGATGTTTTTTTTCAATTTTGAGCGTATACATAGCGTATTCATAACGAGTTGAACGTATACTTAACGTATTAATAACGTATATATAGAACGTTTCGATAACTTATAGATAACTTATACCAACGAATGCTTAGCGTGTTGCCGGCGTTCACAACTTATGCCCATGCAACGATAGTCTAACTTATGCATAGCGCGCGGCAGCGTATCGCCGACGATCACGTGTCGTAGCCTATAAAAAGGCTCCCGCTCGACGATTCAAATCATAACCGCACTAGACATCGCAGTATCAACATCACCGTCGCAGTATCAACATCACCGTCGCAGTATCAACATGCCAATACCATTTTTATATACCAATTCCCCTAAACGCTACCAATACGCCATTATACGGTAGCTGTAAGTTAGAAACACGTTCAGTAAGTTCTGTGGTCGTCCGGAACACGTCAAATACGTTGGAGACAAGTTACACATAGGTTCAAAGCACGTTACTCATAAGTTAGAAATAAGTTTTGGGTACGCTAGACATTATCTCGACGTATTTCGACTTATGAGTAACTTACAAGTAACGTGTGTGAACGTGTGTCAACGATTGAATAACTTACCTACAACTTATGGCCCGCGTATGCGGGACGTATGGGCATACGCTGGCATACGTCGGAAAATTTTGAGCATGCTCAAAATTTTTTGAAGACCTCGCCGTACTACGACGTATACCAGCGTGCTTCAGCGTGCTTCAGCGTGCTTCAGCGTGCTTCAGCGTGCTTCAGCGTGCTTCAGCGTGCTTCAGCGTGCTTTTAACTTATACAAAGCTTACCCATAACTTATTCGACGTACGCCAGCGTATTCACTAAATTTTTGATACGTCCGGCATACGCTGGCTAAATCGTCAATGTGTGACAGGGCCATTACGAAGGCTACGTATATGCTCGTCTGCGCGCGTGGGCGCTAACACGCATGCATCTACTTGCGCGCGCGCGCCTATGCGAACTGATGACCGCCGAGGGAAGGGGGTGGGGGTATATATAGCCGAGGATTTGTTGTACGTGGCGTGCGCGTATGTGGACGCGTGCGTACGCAAGCTCACACGACTGCCGACCGACGCAGCATCGGGCGAGCGACTAACAAATAACTGCAATGCGTTTGACAAATCTCAGCCGCTATGTATGTTGTCGTTAAGAATTTGATGTATCACTTACTTATTTATTACACTTGACTACTCACTTAGACAACGGGCAAACGCGAGACAAAGAGGGCCAGTATGTCAGTAACCTTAACACAATGATGACACCTAATTTCTGTAGAAGAACAACCAAGCTCTTAAAGGAGGACGATGTTATAGTTATGAAGGAAGCGTAAAACCCAATATATTTGCATACTAAGTCGTATTAATTATTATAGCATATTCTAACTTTCTTATTTGCAGTAAATGAATATCTAGCCGCCTGGTGGTCTGACCTCATTCTATATTTAAATTGTCCAACGTTTCGTTTGAATGCAGTATGGCTCTAGTGAGTGAATACATGCATGTATGTAGCCACGTGGGGTATCTATGATGGCAACCTAATTTGTTATTACACTACTTTGTTATGCACATAATTATAATTTTGTTTTAATTGAAATGCTGAAACTACATTTTGCGTAATCAATGCATACTGAATAAACACGAGTTTATCGTTAGATACGGCCTACATATGATCTGTTTCTTCGACAAGGGTATCAAATTCTTTTTCTTTATTTTCTTTACGAATGTTTTTAGAGTTTCGTTACACATGTGCATGCACTAGATATTTCTTTCTTGGAGCGACGCTTCATATTACTTCCCGTTATATTTCAAATATAATATAGATACGAAAAGTTTTTACATTTGCATTTATTTATACATTTTTCTTCTATATCAAATTACAAGACACAACAGCGTGTGCAGGCTGGGGGAATATTTCGATACTCTGACAAAGGATCGAGCGTAGAGAATGCTTACAAAGAGTTCTTACATGTAGGAAGATATTTAACACTGCCAATAGGATCGAACGCGATATCTTCAACGCTATATCTTTCAATTAAAGATGCTTTCTTTAAAGTACGAGAGTAGAATAAAGAGTCTATCCAATACAGGGCCTCCGTAGAGGTTCATCCACATGCACGAACTATATTTAAATTGTGCTAACCGAAAAAAATACAGAATTACGAGTAAAGTATTTATTCCGATAAGTAATCAAGCAAAGCGCACATGTGCAGATTATAGCAGTAGAATCCGCACAATTAAGAAAGAAAGACTGTTGTAGAAAGACTATGGCGTTGATAACCAAAACAAATTGAAAACCCATAAAATTTGTTTAATATTTATGACGTAATGTCAATTATTACTCGAAATGAGACGCATACGCCATATAATAACTATTAGAAATTCACAAAACGAATAAAATTGCATTACTTCACGATACCTAATTAAAATGTAGAAATAAATACCTTAAGGCACGAAATTGCTACGAACTACCTGCGAAGAATTTCGGATTCATTTGCTGATATTAAAGCGTAATTTAATAACCTGATATCGGAATAATGCATTGATATTTGTATCAATTAACCCTAATGTTATTTTGCTATCATTATACTTTTCTGGCGGTGAAATTGGCGTAACGGCTATACGCGTACACACACACACGTGCGCACGCATATATGCATGCCTTAATGGACGATGTTCTTATATCATAGCTGAGAATATATTCATACGCCAATATTAGCGCTACATATTCAGTAGCCATCGCAAATCTGTGACATTGAAATATTTCGTCATCTGATTCGACTGAATACGGAATACTCGTCTGATGACTGCGATATCGTAGTTACTATAGATACTTATCCAGTATAGTCTGATCACCAGACTTGCTGATAGGCCGCGGCGAAGCTATACGAAAAAAATCCAGCAAACATTACAAAAAGGCGTTAGCAGAGCGATTGACGATTCATTAACTCCATGCTTTAAATTCATCATAATTCACCCTTATATTTATTATAGATTAGTCGCATTTCGCCCCTCGCGTAAACAGCATTGCGAATATTTACATGAGATAATTTTATTAAATATATTTAAAGTTTATTCTATCGACCGTTTATCGAATACCATTATCCCATCGACGTTTAATTTGTATGCGTATAGTTGCTTTTTGCCATATGTAAACATTAATGTTAACATTATAAACTTTATTTATACGAGCATTTATTTTGCTCTAGGGTTTCATGAATAACATTATCATTTAGTAGTGGACCTGCAGTCATTTTGCAGCTGGTGTAGAACCGCAGCAAACTTGCAGAGCGCAAGTATGCACAGCGTTGTTTCTAATTATTATCACGTGGCGCCATCTATACTCCATTAGGAGTGAATAATATCAAAACACGTGTGCTTATTGAATCTTGCACAAATGTCTACGCGCCCACGAAGCACTAGTAAACGGTTTCAACTGTAATATACAGATCAAACATCTGATTGAGGACGATTTCCTAGAAGCAGGTGAAGAGCGACCTCTATTCACCTCTGTTCAGAGACCTCTACTTTTGTTCCGTGTACCACAGTTCTTCACAAGCTTTGCGAGCCTACTAATTGCCTATTCCGTAAACTTTCTGGCACGATGATTATTTTATTTTATTTTCTGTTGCTCCACAGTGCGCTCGTTCATTATGTCACCGGACAAGTACACCCCGGTAAAATCGCAGCTAGAACGAGCAACGACATTTTACTTAACCTAGAACGCTCGGCGAATAAATAATGGTCTTCAACCAGGCACGGCGCGATACTTCCGCGTGTTCCTAAGTGACACGAGCGTTGACTGCGCGGGTCGTGCACGCGCACGTTGTTTCCTTGTACGAACGAAACGTGTGCGCGGGTGGCGGTGGGGGGGTGGGGGCCAGCTCATGTCGCGAATAAATCAGGGGGGCGACGCGACCGACACCCTGAGTCGACACGTGTGGTGACACATTAGCGTGGTCGCTAACCTGTGACGACGTCGGGACTTCCTGGTGCGGCGTCGCTATAAAACGCCCGCAACCCCGACTGAAGGCGAACAGTAGAGGCAGGCGCACATATCGCTACGAATTACACTGTGACGGCTCGCAGGATCCATACATAAGCATGCGCATTTACGTGATTTTGTTCTCGATTGGATTGTGTTTCCACTCGGCCAGCCAGGTAGGAATGTTCAGGTTCTTAAACCCATTAGATACTAACGATTGTAAGCATGCCGCGGGATATAGCGCGTGGTGGCGAAATATCAGCCTGTTCTGCTTGCATCTATGGCAAATACGACATACGCATATACGCTCTCCTATGACACTATTTGTCATAGGAAGATTCTTCTTGTGACAAATATTGTTGTATGTGTATGCGCATCAAAGGAGTTTAGGAGCGCTATTATGAACGCAAGCAGTGAATTTGAGCTGTAAAGCGGAACGAAGTTGACTCGCCAATAGTTGTCTTAGGAAGAATCTTCCTATGACAAATAGTGTCATAGGAGAGCGTATATGCGTATGTCGTATTTGTCATAGATGCTAGCAGAACATGTTGGAAATATGCAATACCGTGTAGATCTCTGAGAAGTTGAAGAAACGTTATCGTTGCATGGATACCTTCAACGACCATATATGAACACTGAATACTCTTTATCTTGCGCTTAGTATTTAGACAACACTGAGCAACTGTTTATAAAGAAACCATTCAGTTCGATCTGGATGTATAACTGGACTTAATTAGATGCATGTGTGAGAGAATTAGAGTAATTCGCTATCGTCTTGTTCAGCTATTATTCTGCCAGAAGAAAAAAAGCTAAGCGTAAGAATTCATATTTAAAGACTGATGACATTATATTCGTAGAAAAATAATTCCGACTGAATCCTTTCGCTGATCCTCGGAAAAAAAGTGCCGCGAAAGCTACCATAGTCGAAGTAGTATTAACCCCAAAAAGACGTATCACATTGTATTCGTAGATGAATAATTCCGACTGAATCCGTTCGCAGATCCTCGGAAAAAAAGCTCATCGAAAGCTATATTATAGTCGAAGTAGTAAAATCCCCCAAGAAGGCGTATCACGTTAAATTTGTAGAAAGAATAATTACGACTGAATTCTATTCGCCGATCCTCGGAGAAAAAGCTGAGCGAAAGCTCCCATAGTCGAAGACGTATCACATTGAATTCGTAGATGAATAATTTCCGACTGAAATCCTTTTCGCAGATCCTCGCGGACGACGCAGACGACGACAGAATGGCGCGCATGCGCGATGCGGCCAATACGCTGATCGGCATGACGAGGCGCGGCGAGCTCGGGGCCGCACTCATGCCGAACCTCGGCCGCGGGTCGGCCGACAGTGCGGACAGCCGCCGCAACTCTGAGAACCGCGTGCGAATCCGTGCGGCAACGCGCCACATACAGGACGTCGCCGGACACGTGCAGCGCATGCTGCGTCGCCTGTCGACGACCACGTCGCAGCCGATGCTGCAGATGCTGCTGCCGTACCTCATTGAGAGCACGGGCGTCGTCGACGGACGCGACAGCCGACAGATGGTGCAGATCGGAACGGAGGTGTTGCGGATGCTTCGCGAGCCGATGGGCGTGTTCGCCATGTCGCCCGTCATCATGCCTCTGGCGAGTCAGTTAGATCCGAGTCTGAGGATGTTGGCACTGGAGATGATGGGCACCAGGGGCGCTCCGCTCGGCACGCGCAGCGTCACGAGTAACGAGGACGTGTCGCTCGCATGCGAGAAGCTGACGTGCACCGCCTGGGAGGACAAGTCGTTCTGCAGCGCCACCTGCCAGAACGGACCCGGTTTCAAAGTAAGTGCGGAGTCGAGGGGATGAACTCACGCGAATGTTCACCGACGTCTCTCTCTCTCTCTCTCTCTCTCTCTCTCTCTCTCTCTCTCTCTCTCTCTCTCTC